AAAGGAAACACCCATTCATTGAGTGTTCGACCCTGACAGTATTACAGATAGATATGATGCAGAGCCTGAATTAGATCAGGCTACCAGTGTTTTACTTCTTCCCTGAACATTAAAAAGCTCCTTCACTAATGTGGATATTTGGGCAGACTACTGAGGTTGTAACGTTTGAGATCACTGTTGTGTGGGATTTTTTTTTTTTTCTTTTTTTGCAGTATCACAGTAGTTTGTTACACAAATCCCCCTCCCCCAGATTAGAGTCATTTAAACTAGTTGTTGGAACCACATAGTTTAGTAAACTCAGAATCAAGTCTGTAAAAAAGCATAAAGGTCACAAAGAACCATAGTTCTGTTATAATGAGGCATACCCTAATACATCATTTAGTGTACCCTGACTGCTCCTGACTGCGAGAAGCTTGTCTTCCGTGAGATAAGGCTACATCCTCAAGCAGGTGAGTCTAAATATCACCCTTCAAAAATATCAAACAAAATTACAGCGAAGGTAGTGTTACAAATAATTAACTGACATATTCTGAAGGTAGTGTAATGTAAATTTTCCCTCCCCGCCCCTCCCCTCCGGGTGAGCACTAAGCAGACAATGAATGGTAAGTATGTTTAATTTAGAAATAAAATAGTGGAGAGCCTAATTAGACCCAATTGATTATCCATCTAATAAACAAATCTCTGAGTTCAAGAAAGGTACCATTCCTAAGTAACCTGATTTAGCTTAAATCTTTCAATCAACTGGATCAAAGAAAAAGAGGGGGGGAAAAGATCTCTGAAACATTTTGAAGAATGACAGTCTGATTCTCATTCAAAAAATGCCTGGTTTTAGGAGAGTATCAGTTTTACAAAGTGGACTTATTTCTATAAAGGTAGACATGAAAAATCCAACACCAGAAGTTCAAGCAGGCTCTACAGGCAAGATGTCCACTTCCACAGATCTGCATTCTTTTTGAGGTAACTCAACTCTCTATTACAGAGAAACATGCAAAAGGAAAAAGAAAAAAAAAGAAAAAACCAGAAGGGGGGGTAGTGGGCAGATGAAGGAGGGAAACTGCACCATACCAGGCTAGAAAAATTTACAAATGTGACATTCAGAGCACACCTTTTGCCTGTGTCCACACAAGTCTATGCTAAACTGCAAAGAGTGTTGCAGTAAATAGGAAAATCAGGCGCGCTCAGTGGTGGTTGAACTATGCAGTAGTGCTCACCCAGTTTGCAAAGTAATTGGCACTCTACAACATCCCTACTCATCTTTCAATTCATTTGCACTTTGTGCTGCTTCTCCCTGGGGATCTAATTCAATCTTTACTGAAACATCCTGCCCCTCCGACCTCATTAATTTCATTTTTTTCTTTGGAGGGTTTTTCAAAGTGCCCAGCCTCTCTTTAACTTTGTACTCCAGTGTACTGTGGGGGATCCCATAAATACTCTGAGCTTTGGAAACACTCATTTTCCCGCTCATAACCACAGAGATTGCTTCCTCCAGTATCTCGCTGTTGTACTGTCTGTATCTCCCTCTTTTCTTCCTAGGTTGCTTGGAGCCAGCATCTCCCTCTTGATCTGAGGTGGGATATGGCTGTCCAGAGGTAGACTGCTCAGCATCTGAGCCCCAGGAATCTGGTCCAGCATCCAGCAAACTTCTCCTGTTTTGTTTTGGAAGGATAGCCCTTAACTTTTTGCTAAGCGCGCTCTCCGTTTGTGAACCCATTACCAAAGAGCTATAGCTGTACTGGTCACCAGTGCGGGACTCCCATGAAAGGTCCATGCCTCGAACTTGTGGTATCTTTAAATCCACAGGAGACGAATGGCTCACGTCCTTTTTCCCATCCTGTTTAGTTTGAAGTGCCATTTTTTGAAAGGCAGAGTTTTCTGTAAGAAAAGGAAGGTCACTGATGTTGCTGAGTGCACCATTTCCCCTGAATTTCATGCGGCTGAAATTGAATTCGTAGTGTGGTTTTGCCCAAGAAGCCTCCCTGGATAATATTAAGTGCTGTCCATGATTCTGTAGTCCAGATGGCCCATGGCTGGCAGCTGTAGAAAACTGGTTTCTGCTCAGCAGTTCTTCACTAATCTGGAGTGATCGAGCCAGCGGTACTTTAAGAGATGTGGAGTGGCCATAACCTTCCCTGGTTCCATCCTGCAAGCTTCTTGGAGGTACCCCATCACCACTCTGTAGTCCCTCCGGATGGTGCTGGCTGGGTCTCCCAGGTCGCCTAATTGGATGGAAGGAAACTGATGTGAGCAGGACTTGCACAGGTAGGGAGGGATGGGTGAGGGGGCCACTCCTTTATTAGAAGGCCTTGCTTGGGTAACATCACTTTTTGTGTTATTTATTTTTCTCTAAATTTTTTTTTTTTAATTTTTTTTAAAGTCTCAGCATCAGTCAGTTTTAAAACTTGTTCGCAAAAAATGAGAAGCTTTTTGGGCAAAGAAAAGTGAAACCTGTTGGCTGGTCTCTGGTTGGGTTCACAAATTCTCGGAGTAGAAAAGACTTCGCGCAAGCGTCTGAAAATAGCACCTTAATTACAACGTAGTAATCAATAGCCATAGATCTACACACAACTGTGTTACTGGTGTGACGTTACCACTAAACAAGTACAGTAATAAAAGAGTAAGCCAAAGTGCAACATAGTCAACATGCAAATATGACTGTCACCTGCAGTATCTACACATAGGTGGAAACCTTGGATGGTGTTTGCTTACATCATATTGAAGAATTGCTGCTCAGGGTAAAAAAAAAAAAAAAAAGCTTAGCAGGCCTCAAAGGTATTTGCTTGACTTTCATTAAGCACCAAATATGAAAGCTGAGATACTGCAGATCACAAAGGAAAACACTGCATTACACTAGACTTACCAAATTGCTCTCTTAACAACTAATTGCTTATATACACATGTCCCTGATTCTCATTTAATACATAGCACGGCTAGGAAAAAAAAAATAAAAAAAATCTAGCTCCAACTGTCATCCAGATGAAGGGTTAACAGCAGAAAGTGGTATTTTTACCATTTTTCTTTTGTCACAAGTGTTGTTTCTATGACACAAAGTACTACTACTGCAGATAAACATGTGTATTTTAATGTTTTGCTTGCTTAGCCCCCTGCAGTAACTACGTCACACTAGTTTCAAAATCCACCTCCAAACTTCTCCATGTTCAACATACAGATTAACAAAGAGACTAGTAAGCAATTCTATTTTAATGCTCTGGGACACTACACTGGTGTAAAGCCCTCCAGCTAAGTCAGCGTTATTTAAGGATAGGATACGTACTACTGAAAAACTACATTATTCTTTTTAACATCACACTGGGATTTAAAAAAAAAAAAAAAAGTAGTCTTTAGAGAAAAGACATCTACTGAAAGGACCTAGCATGTAACATACACAGTGCTTGATACACGTGCTGCTAGCTTCTCTCCAGGATACAACAGGTCACAGTCGAAGTGGGTAGCAAGAGTCAAGAAGGATTCAGAACAAAATCCAGAGATGTCAATGAAAGTTTACTATTCCAGAGAACTCTCAAGCAATGTGCATTCTCTGCCCCTTCTACAGCATGTATCAGCATTAGAATATGCACCAGAGAATCCTAAATAAAGGACATATTGGCAGCTAACTAGGACAGAGGTCAACATGATTTCATTGATGCTAAACAGACTGCAGTCAGCCTCATGTACCACACACCTGTACAAGTAGCCACAGGTGCCACATCCTCTCTGGACCCACAAGAGTGATCAGACAGTGCCAGATGCTGGCCCTGTCATCCCTGTGTGTTGGACTTTGGCTCTCACTTGATACACAAACAAGGGAACAAACAACACAGCCTCGGTGGCTTCTGCTGCCTTCCTAGGAAAATAAAGCTAGAAATAACCTGTTCAGAATTGAAAGAGAAGACCTAGTAAGGTAGCTTTATGTTAAAGAATTATGAAAAAGTATTAAGACTAACTTTTAAACAAGGACTGAAGTATTTTATTAATATATATATTAAATGGAAAAAGTAATATTGATGGGAGAAACCTGAGACAGTAATGTTTTTCCAAAAAGAAATGCAAAAGTTAAATCAGTTGTTAGCAGCACATGGGACTGGTGGTAGTGGTGGGTTGTTAGTTTAAAATTTGAGTTTTTCAAAGGCTATTGTAAAGCTAAATCCAGCAATTAATTAGCAGTTTAAACCATATACTGTTTCTGTTCTTCACTAAAAAGATTACTTGTTCACAGTAGCTTCAAGATAAAATTCTCCCATCAACACCCAAAATCCCTCTTACTCCCAGTCAGCCTCTCCAATACGATTAACTCAGTCCTAACTAAGAGTAAAGGGTTTCTAAATGTATGCAAATGGTGACCATTAGTAATATGAAATCTAAAAGAATTATTTTTGATATAACATTCTTTCACACCTTGGACTAATTAAGGTAAAAGTTGTACACCACATTTTAAATTTTTTTTTGTTTTTAAAAAAAAAACCTTGTTCAGTCCTACAGTACAATCGCAAATCCAAAAAGCCATATTTAAAGTTTTCTGAGCTACCAGACTCCTTCTCCCAGCCACTTTTTTTAAGCTGTGATTTATGGCAGGAAATAAAGAGCACACAGGGATGCAAATCTAATTCAGCTTAGTTCATCACCCAAATCATTGCTACCCCTAAAATAAACTTTCCTGTTAGCTAATTTTCTCCTAAGTGAAATGAAATCTAACTTAATTTAATTGAACTTGCATCTCCAAGAACATCACTTATCACTAAACCCAAGAAGCAGGTAATGGAAAGATCTTTGGCTAAGTACTAAACTGGCCAAAATAACAGATATTAGAGTTCTTAATGACAACTTAAGCCTGTCTCAGTTTGCAACAACTCTTATTTGGCAGGTGGGGTGAAGGTATTTGCCAAAGGTACAAGTTGAAAAGCACATTACTCCAAAGGGTTAACATCAAAAGTAAGTTAAAATTGACAAGAGGTAAGCACACATTTTTAGCAAAAACAAGGTCATAGTAAGTTGCTTTCTCTTACCCATTTCCCGGAGTACTGGAGCATCCTGGAGAATGACTCAGAGAGGTGCTGCCGGCACAAGGACTCTTCTTAGTGGATAAATCAAGCACACCGTCTGTAGAGACAAAAGAATGACTTCAGTCTTTGAAGAAGCAGGATCAACCACATTGCCCCTTGATAAAACAAGCCTTTCAGGCTAAAGTTATATTTAGCACACAACATTTTCTATTTTATTTGAACAAACTAAGGCTTGGATTTGTTTGCAGTTTGGCTTACAAGTGACTTCAACATAATCCTCAGAAGTCGCAACAAAATTTGGGAAAATTAAAAGTGCATCTGTTATAAGAGCCAGAGAATAAAAGATGACCTACAAACAATGGTTCAAGATACAACACAGCCTATGGCATAACTAACCCTCAGCAATCCTCAGATGAGACAATCTTCAAATTCCCAAGATATTCCCCCCATTAAAAGAGGGCTTTAAGCCATTATATGAAATTTTTTTTGATCCAAATCTCTGCAGGAAAATTCACTGAGAATTTCACACTGGAAACTTACTTTCAAATGAACACATACAAATGCGAGACTCCTCCTCACCTAGCAGCTAGCTTAAATTCTTTTTTCCATCTCAAATGGGTCCCTACTGGCAGAGCTCCTGCTTTTCCCCTCTCTATTGTGCCATTTTACTCCCTGTCTTCTTCCATATACCAAATTGTTTTTCCTACTAGACTGCTTCTTCCATTCTCACTAATGGCACTTCCTCAAGCTCACACATGCTCCTCTGCAAACCCCTATGGAAACTGCATTTCTAGGCAACAGAAAAGGGAACGCTTTTTGATAGAAAAAGTCTTGCTCCCACTGCACTGAAACAACTGGAAATTCTGGTCATTTTAATAAGGGCAACACTATCACAGAAGCAACACAGCCATCTGGAATTCCTGGAAATTTTGAAACAAGGAATTTATGAGGAAGAGATAAATGAAACCTGTTGGCAAGGTAAACTAGAGGCATTTCAGAACTCCTCACTCGTTCAATATAATCAAGTCAATACCAACCAACACAAGAACAACGTAAGATGGCTTTCAGATTGCTTAAAGTTCTCATTTGACATATGGAGAAAAAGCATGATAAACGGTGAACTAGAATTAACTTACAGAAAGCTGTTCCACCCACTGCATTTGGGAACACACCATAACCCAAACTTAGGCAAGCAGAGAATTCAATCTTCCTTCTGAACAACATTTATGCAGCCACAAGGTACAGAGACTGGATCAAGTAGCCCCTCCTTTTCAAGAGGCTATACTGAACAGCTCAGGCTGCTGTCAGAGGCATTTGCATCCAGACTCCCTCCATCAGAAGTGTCATTACAACCTAGAAGTCTCTGAGGGGAAGCAGGGCCAGCCTCATACACCACCAAGAAGTTTACAGCTATAGCTAGGTTCCCCTCAATCCACTAGAACAGAAATATAACAATAAGTACCACTAGCAGGCTTTTATGACAGCCTCTTAAATTTCTCATTAACAGGTCTGGCAAAACCTCTTCCCAATTACATTAAATGCAAATTGGGAAAAAATAATTACATCAGCAAACAGATTACTGTATAAGTTAATAGGCACCTTCTATTCCATAACAAGTGCTATGAACATTATAAATTATCTTACAGCTTTTTCATCACATGGTAGTGAAAGAACAGTTCATGTACATGCTTTCTGCTTCACCATACAATCCTTTAATTAAAAAAACCCACAGAAGCAAAACTGATTCTCTCCCTCTCTTTTCACAATGAAGGCAATTTAACATTTTAAAACACACATGCAGAAGACACTCGTGAAATACATCTATAATAAAATTAATTAGAAACAAATGCCTATCAGCTGAATGTATAGGTCCTCACTTCAAGAAAGATGCCATACAACCTTTCAGTGCGGTTTTGTAACTGAAGTGTGGCAACAACTTTCAGTAAGTGCTGTAAGTGCAGTAAGTGTCCAGACACACAACCTGCACATTGTTGGACACACGGAATTAACCTTTTTACAAAAGGCTTCATAAACATAAATTCAAAGAATAAAGGGATACCTTCAATACTGTACTAGCTAGCAAAAGGCTTTTTTTTTCTTTTTTCTTAAAGGCACCTTTTCTACTTGAGGATGGACAGCCTACTTTATGTTTGATAGAATGATTTCAGGCACTAACACATTTCTAAAGAAGGGCAAAGGGGATAATTTTAATCCTATCAGTAGGATACACTTATGAAAACTTCCATTCAACAGTTTCAGAAAAAAACCCCATTCACATACTATAATCACTCACAGAGTTTACTTGTTAAAAACATTTTTGATGGAAAGCAAGGTTTTCAAATTAAAACAAGCTCTGCAACACTGTTACAAGTTATTCAATCTGTGCTCTGCAGAACAAGTCTATTTTTAAGGTAGAAAAGAAACATCTCTTCCAAACACATAAACCTGGAAGTGTTCATGGGCATCATTTTTACAGCCTTCACAAAGCAATTTCTCACAGACTTTTAAAAGATACTGTTTTCATACTATGACCAGAAAGTAAATGAATCAGTCCATCAGTTTGTGACCTGATCTTCATAAAGAAGCAACATTATGGTTTTCATGACCACATGAACTTGTCTTATCAGTAAGCATAAAGTCTATTTTGGCAGACTGTTTCTTGCAGCTCCCACCAGAAACAACAGACTTGTCCCCAGAGTTTGGAACATGTCCATCCCCTTTGCCTTTCTTCAGAAAAAATCACTAAAGTCTACAGGTCTACATTCTTTGAAAAAGTCTCTTCTCTCCCAGCCACACCTAGCTAGTTGTTATTTTCTTGTAAAACATCTACCACTTTTCCACTTTACATTTAATGGAGAAGTGCAAACTTCTAATTGTCTAGTTTTGCAACAGGAATGCCATTAATGGATTGCCACAGGATGCAAGACACTGATAAGAGTCCTACCTTGTTCACTAGGTTCTGACTGAGACTTTCTGACAGTAAGGTCCAGAGGTGAGTCTTGGTCAGCCATGAGAAGTTTGCTGAGCACAGGGTTCTGAGCAGTTGCAGCCGTGGGAGAGGAGGCGACCAGAGATGCTTTCAGCAGGCTTTGGTTCTTTGTGCTATTGGGCTGGCTGGAGTCCTGAGTAGAGCTATTTTTTGAGGTATATTCAGCAGCAAACTGTCGGATCATTCGCTGCATGATCTCACGGGCCACTAGGGGAATATTTGGGTCAGAGACCCTAGGACTGTCTGTAAATATTAGAGATTTTTTTTTTAAGGAAGCACTTTAAGTAAAACAGCTTTTATATTAAGTTATTGTTTATTAAAAAAAAAAAAATCATCTAGGGAAAAAAAAAAGAAAGCCAAAGATAAAATGTACTTTAGTCTTAGAATACAAGAACCACTGCCAATACTGGTATAATCTTCCCAAAATAACAGTTCCCTAAGAGAAATAGGCAATCTCATCTTTTGTTTTCAAATATAGATATATTTGAGTAGACCTTTAAGAGGCATGGAAATGGAAAGGAGAGCTAGACTCAAGAAGAAAAGTAGCAACTAATGAAGATCATTCCAAAAAAAATTAACACATTTTTCAGTGGAAGAATTGAGTAACTTACCTGCAGCTACAGAAGGGGAGAAGGGAGAATAGAGTTGCAGCTGTCCCCTACAAATTTACTAGAAAATAAATCCCTATAGCTCTGATTCTTTAAAATAATCCACGTGAAGATCAAACATTCAAGTGTCTTCCATCCCATTCTATCTATTCCTTTTGACATTTCTATGATTATAATCAATGTAGCACCTGGCATTACATAAAGAGCTTTCACATATACAAAAACCCAAGATGTGTCACATGAAAAGTAATTCTATTTCTAGAAGAGCTGCTAAATTCATCATTAGGAAACGTGTAATGGAACAGGTAGACATTCCAATTTATTTGGGCCACCCAAAAATATATTGGCAAAAATCGCTGTTTCAGACCAGTAGTAATTTGTGATGTCAAAGCAAATCTATAACTCCAAAATCACAGAAGTTAAGTCCTGCCACTTCACCTCAAATACTGCTTGTATTCTCTGGCCAAGTCAGGGTAAAAAGAAAAAAACAAAACCAAACATAAAAACCAAACCCACAACTCCTCCAGAAATGTCTCAAAAGGTTTGATTTTGTATTTCTGAAGAAACATTCAGAGAAAATTGTGCAGTAGAAGACGAAACAAATCTTTAAAAGCAGCTCTCAAAATGGAACAATAGTAAAGTGTTTACTTCCTCTTTAAAAAAATTGCCCAAGTTGAGATTGAAGCGTTAGCAAAACCTTCTGTGGGACATTTCAGCACTAGATTTGCCTTTTACCACCTTTTTTGACAAAAATGAACCAATCCAACAAACCAGCTTAAAGTATCTGTAAAGGATTGACATGATGGTTTGAGCATGTAGGTGCCCACAAACTAGACAGCAGTAGTAAATAGCTACTGCGTTTCTTGATGAAAAACTAAATTGATCTTTAATCAAGACCATATTCTTTCTTGTTAAGTACAGCTTTCTAAATATAAGACCTTATACAGTCAATATGTGTATTTTAAGAGCCAGAGTAGCTGTAAACTTCTAAGACATTTATGTAAATACTTAATCATTTTGTTTTAAAATCTACAGGATGGTTTACTGTAGCTAAGGCCAAGGCACTAGAGTTTTTAAGAAATCAACAAGAGATGAACCAAACTTTAAATTTAGGTATATTTATTTTCTCACTTTCTTCCCAAATGGTCTGTAAGGACACAAGCCTGGAAAAGCACAGAGACTTTTTTCTGGTATGGTGACATTTCTTCCATTTTCTAAACTCTCTACCATAACCTCCCGAAGGACATGTGAAAGGCTTTAGGAAAGCCCCAAGGGACACAAACTGATGGCATGATCACACTGATGCCAACTATTTGGCACGCACTTGTAGTGTATACAAGAGGGCTGGCAGGAATGCAGAGCAATACGGCACCTATATTTTCTGAAGAAGAATCATGACTTTACTGTGCCTTTGTGTTCATATGTACAGTTCAGTAATGCTTACAGCTGAATAGATTTCAAAATTCAGGAAGAAAATACTGTATATGCCTACCACACTCATCTTTGTAACCTGCAACTTCAAAGAATCAGCACAGAGTGACTACTTAAAAGCTTTTTAGGGCTGCTCAAGACAAACTCTCTAATTCAGGACACAAAACTCAGTTTTCAACCCAAAGAGTAGTTACCTAGCACATTAAAGTCTCCTTGCTTAATATAAAGTCTGAATCCTAAGGATTAAAACTGTTCAAAAACAAGTGCAAAATATTTGCTGATGTCTCTGCAGCATACTTGAAATCAAACAGATGTTTATTTTGATTCCAAGTGTCTGGGTTTTTTTTTTAAACTAAACTAAAATTAACTAAAACAGAAATTCTCAGAGAAGAAAAATATAGCTGATAAATATTTGCTATAAACAGTATAAAGTAGTACTTCTGAGCTTTAAAACCTTAATTGCTTTTCTGTATTTTATCTAAACTGAAACCTTAGAAGGGCAGTATCAAACAAAAAAAAGGCATGATTTCATTAAACCATCAAAAGAAGGCCCTATCCTGCCACAGTGTAGAGGTAACGGACAACTAGGTACTACCACTCTGCTTTCACTGAGCAGTATGAATTTTTGACAGAAACATTACTGGGTAAGAGTGCCATGGGCACAAAGCAGAGAGGAAGTATGTAAGATGAATGGACAGTAAACCGGTGCAAAAAGTTTGCTGATCCTGCTCATTAGCTATGTATGTAAGTGTATGACTGCACGTCCTTGACACGCAACAGGCATCTGTTCGCAGAACATCCGCATTTTCTCTGATCTGCCTGGGCTACAAAATACCAGTCTCAAATGTTACTGGCAGTGAGGACGGAAAGAAAAAAATAACTAATTGCTGGCATGAAACTCAGAGCACCAATTATCTCTGAGCAGCGCAGGAGTGTCAGAGTGCTGCCATTCTTTGTGTCCTCTTTGGTATGACAGTGCCTGGGGATGTTATGGCAGTGGCATGAGTTAGAATAACCCTTCAAGCAACCCAAATACAGCCAAGCTTGACAATGATCATTAAGGACTCAGAACTGACTTCCTGCCAGGTTTCCCCCCATCCGTTATTACTCTGCACCAAGCATAGCTCTGCCAGAGGAATGAAAGCAAGAGTGTACTAAAAAAATTCTCAAAGATGCTTAGACACCTGAAGTGACTTCATTATCATCATTCTGTGTATCTGACCACAACAGAGTGTTAAACCCCTTGTGAGCACACTGTTAGCAATATCTGCCAATAGTTTTCCAACAATTAGGGAAGCATGCATTTCTGATAAGACTCAAACACAGCTCATACTTAAATTTTTAAGCATAGTGTTAAAGAGTTGATGTCTCTAATAAACAATTTAGAAGTAATGGAACTGCATTTTTTTTCCTCTCACCAGAAAAATAATACGGAAAAGGGTATATTATTTCTAGATTTTTGTTTTCTTAAAACCCTTCTGGATTTAAAGAGAGATGGGATAAATCTAAAAGTAAAAGGAAACCTTAAAAGAAAAAAAACAAACAAACAAAAACCAACCACACCACTGAAAAAGAAGACTTAGAATAAAAGCATTATCTGACCTATCAGTAGTAATTCAGTAACTATCCTTCCTACTATCCTACATGCTTCTATACTTCATGCAATACATCACAATGCATAGTTTCTACTTATTCATCTGAGTCATAAAAGAAAAGCTAAGATACTGTTATCTACTTAAAACACCTTTAAATATTTTGGTCACTGGGAGGAAGGGCTGAGGACTGGCTACAGTAATTTGTAATTTGTTAAACTGAAGCCTTGCATTGTCCCCCAGTAGACAGGTTGGAATTACTGATTTGGCAGATTTTCTGACACATGGGTTAGACTGATAAGTACAATGTACTTTCATTCAGGATTCATTTGGAAGCAACCTCTGGATTCCCATTTCTCAGATTGGTAGAAAACAGTGAAATGAGTTTTGTGCCTTCCCAAGAGCACACTTTAACTGGCATAACTCTCTAGAAGAGATTTAGGGGATTTTCTAGCATTGAGCTACTGTATTGTTCTTGGCATGTTCTACAGTACTGATTTCCCAATTATTTTGCTGATCACATTTTGAATTCTCAATATATCTCCCTTAGAACTATTCCAATAATATTTTATACTGGGGATTGCTAGGAGGGGGGTGTGTAATCACAGAACTATTCCAATAATATTTTATACTGTAGATTGCTAGGAGTGGGGTGTGTAATCACTGCAGACCACAGTGAGAGAAGACTGCTGACCTTTAGGAAAAACCGCATTAATACAGTTCCCATTAAAATAAATAAATAAGTTTTTAAAACCCACAACACACACCACCACTTGCCCCCGTTTTCAAACAGCCGACTCATCTAAACATCAGTTTCAGGGGAGCAGTTCTGCCAGGCAAGAACGGAGTCATTCCTCCAAAAGTGCAAATCACCAGTGTTCTCATGGGGAGATTTGTTTTAGAGTTAAATATGTTATACTTTCTTCCTCTGTCCCAAGCCCACATCGTTGTATTGCTGCATTATTTGAGTCAATTTTTACTGTTGATAAATATATGTAAGACAACTGAAAAATACTGAATGTACAATGACAGTTTGAACATCAGATCTTTGACACCTGCATTGCATGCAAAAAAGACCAGCGAGAGATACCATTTCCCCCCAACCATTAAAACCAACCTTTTCTGTAAAAGACTGCATTGAGGAACTCTTCCGCTTGCCTTTCAAAACGAATGATTTTTGCTTGCTCTTGTCTAAGCAGAGCTTCTTGTCCAGCTTCCGAGGCTGGCTCATCCAGACTGACTAAGTGTTCCTGCAAAGATATTTAATATTTGTAAGATCTTCCTCACTCCAAAATGAATAAAGTTCCTTAGGCATTAAATATCTTATTAAATTCAAAACTTTGTTAGGTAGTCAGAGTGGAATCTACTGAAAACACAACTTGATTTTTGTCTGCTCGGAACATTGTACTTTGTCCTATCTTCTTGTAAATGCAGCAGAATATTTGATAGCATTATGGGAAATAAGAGCACACAATGAAGAAGATTTAGACATTTTACAACATTTGGCTGCAAATATAATATCTAGCACTCATTCTTTATTACTTTTACTTACAAGAAATAACCACTGAAGGTAAAACACAGAAGGTTCTTAATTTACACAGCATTCATGCAAACTGAGCAATAAATGACTAATCATCAGCAAAAAACAGTTCCTTTGTGAAAAGGCTCAGTAGTAGCTACTTTTAAGTGAAATAAACTTGTTAGCTGTTTACAACACCCACAGTGAATTAAAATTCATTCTAATCTCTTACAACTGGAAACAACTGAGTTATCTAAAGAATATTTTTTAAAAATGTTTTAATTAGGATAATTAAATTGTGTGAGATGCCAAGATAAATTACTAATTTTAAATACAACTCAAGAAACTAAGACAATGGTTACAAAAACATGAAATCTAAATGTTTGGATTGTCCCGACACACATAACTTTTTTTATTTCTTTAATGCCTTGCTCTTGCTTAGGAGAACAATCTCTTTCCTGGCCCTCTCCTTCCACTTTCATTTTAAGCTATATTAAAGTTACCTGTATTTACCTACTGCAGGAATGCATACACAAACACTTTTTGGGTTTAGGGAGTGTTTTGTTTTCTTAACCTTTACAAAGTATCAGTTACCATAATATCTAGACTACATCTGTTTTTTTAGCCTCTACTATACAAGTTGATTTCAGGTTCATATCCTGACAGGACTAGAAGAGAAGGAAAGAACTGGCAATTAATTTATAATTCACAATAAATGAAAGTCATTTTTAAGTTTGTACTGTCTCAGTGTCAAGAGGTTTAATGATGCAAGGTTACATAACCAGCCCATAGTAAATTAACAAACACAGCAATCACATGAACTACGTGCAAAGGGTAATAATATCAAGTGCTGTGGACTCTGGCCTGAAGAAAATGGGCTCTCACCTTCAGATTTGTAATTTAACAGCTTCCAAAAGTCCTTTGTCAAAAGTAAAGGGAGATCCTATCTCAGACAAGGTACAGAGACAAAGCAGTATTTTATGCTAAAACAAAATATGAGGAGCATGGGATGACAGAGGTGACAGGTGAGTAAAACATGTTTGCTGTGAAGGCAAAAGTAAAGACCTCACAAAGTGACTGATGCTTTTTTCTATACCAGAGAAATTCCAGGCTTGCTTTCAAACCTGATGGCTCTCATAGAAAAGATTAATCTTTAGAGATAGTCTTAAAGAATATTAAATTAAACTGATGCATTAACTACAGTAAAAGCATTCACCTCTGTGCCGGATACTCCTGTATCAGAAAGCAGTAGCAGTGCTCCCACGGTTCACTGGCATTTTATGAACACACTGAAAACACAGTTGTACTTTCCTGACACTTAAAATATGTGAAGTATTTGTACAGGATTTCAAAATAAAAATATTTGTAGCAAATAATCCCAATATTTCTGTAAGGGTTACTCTTCAGGTGACTTCACAGAACATACTTCCATTTGCTTTTTGAAACTGTGTTTCTGCATCTGACAAAGTTAATGCAGGATCCATCCGAGTCACTGACAGCCATTCCGAGTCAAGCTCCATTATCTTTTAGGCATTATCAGGATAATTGTAAACTCATCAGCTTGTGTAAAAAGCAGATATTTGTGCAAATTAACTAATAACAGAAGTAATCTAGGCATACAGAAGTGTTCAAACAGTCACTGGAATATCTAAGCATTAACAGACAAACTGCTTTAAGTTTTACTTTCAGAGGAATCTCTGCAAAGTGATGCACAGAGATTTGGCTATATAAGATCCATTAGAGTTAATTAGCATCCTCTGGCTAAAGTCCCACAAGCCATTGCAAAAAACTTTCCTTGAATTCAAAGGACAAACAATTCAGAATTGAAGGAAACATTACCCCTTCAATTTGATCTAATACTCTGCCCTTTGACAGACTATAGGTCTGGAAGAAACCTAAAATAAAAATAACCTTTGCCCAAAACAATGCATTTCAAATCTTCCTAATATTTTCTACAACTAAGATAATACATAGTAAATACTAGCCTAGCAACTCGGTGGAAACCTGTGTTCAGTGGCAGCACGCCTCATCATAAATAAATGTATTTTACATTACTCATATAAAGGTAATGTATAAAGAGTACCATTTAATCTACCTAAGCTAATGAAAGCTGTACATTTTCTACATAGAGAAGTAATGAAGGAAAAGGTATCAGCCAGAAAAAAAACCCTGCAAGCGACTTACAATGGTGAATGGCCAAATAAAGGATTTGATCTGCATTCAAAGAGGGTGATAGCAAGGCAATGGCAGCGCTTAGTTCTTACCCCTTAAACTAAGGAGCATGCATCTCATTACAGGTACAATTTTTATCAATGTCCATGATAAGACATCAAAATGTAAAGAAATACAGTTATATATAAGAGTCAGACTTAACCTTGTGTGTAGAAAAAAAGTCTTCATCTATTTTCTGGCACCTGCAGTACAACACTATGCGAGACAAAATATATTGGAAAGATTTCTGTTTACTGCATTTTTTTATTTTCTTATCAATTGTGCCATTATTTCAGTAATCTTTGCAGCTAGTTCACTCCTAGAGTGAAACTTCAAGTTTCCACACTAAATATTCGATTGTGATTGCTATCCAAAGTCAACTTCCAAAAGCATGGTTTTTTTGGGGGAGTGTGTGTTTCATTGGTTGGTTTGTTTTTTTCCTGGGTTTCTGGTTGTTGGGTTTGGTTTTATCTTTATGTTTTCCATCATTTCTTCTCAATAACCATTATTTGGATCCACTATCTTCACTCTTATCCTCTCACTCTACAGTCCCAAATCATATCAAAGTTTTTGGTACCAACATGAAGGTAGTAGGAAGAAGAAAAACCTACTAGTATTTAGACAGCATTGTCACTGGTTACAAATACCCTGGAAAAAACCCCAACCAGTTACTTTTACATATTATTTATAACACAGCATTCATTCTATTCTCTTTGTGCTTCTCTTCAGATGGGAACCATGCCCCAGAGCATCCCTGGAATCCCATCAGTGAACATGCAGCATCACTATATTGAACAATAACGCTTCAGGAAAAGATACTTGGAGTGGTTTGCACATGCTCCCAAAGGGCTGAAGCTTTTTTTGTACGTTAAGATAAATGGCATAATTACATAATTAAGTCAAAGACCCTTAGAAATACAGGGCTCAGGTTTTCAAAATGCAAGGTCAGTGCGTGACCTTGAGAGACCACCTAATCCTGGACAGCCCAGCCTTGTCAGCACTAGTGCTGGATCTTCACTGAGATCCTCCTTGTAGGAAATGTTGATAGAGCAATTCTAAATGCTAAACTGCTGGCATGAAGAGAAAGGTATGATGCAGGCTGTTTTTGTATAGATATGGCAACAGCAGCTTCATGTTTAAGCCACAGACCACATGCAAGTGGAGCAAGAAGCACCCACAAGCTAGGTAATTCCTATCCATCTTCATGGAGAAAACAGAGGGAGGCTTCCCACAGACCACCCATAGCTGACCAGCCAACCCATGGGCCCTAAGGATACAATCCAGCCTCTCACCCCAAGGCAAGATCAAGAACAGTGAGTAAGCAAGGAATGTGTCAGCATCCCTAGGTTGTCTTGTCCAATACATAATTTTTCTTAAGTCTTTTTAATATTAGCCAGTGCAAATGAGAATAATCTGCTCTTTTCTGCAGACAAGCCTTAAGGGCACAAGAGACTGTTTTCTTTTACCTTCAGGACCAAGTCGTTCTTGTTGCTTCCATTTCAATGCTATTCAGTTTGTTTACATCTCTCAAAATGCTACACCCAGCTGAGGCTTCACCAGCATTTAGGGTTTCCTCTTCAGGTGTTAAGACAAATGTCTCTTTCAATATAGCCCCCAAAATAGTTTACTACTTTTACAATGCTATCACTTTGCAGACATCTGTAACTTGTGACTTGACAAAACAAGTCTGTCTGTCCTGTTTCTCAAATTCATTGAGATCATTTTCAATTCTGAGCGTATCGTTGAAAGCATATACAACTGTTCGCAGCTTGGCATCAGCTAAAAATTCAGATAGTTTAATTAGGTTTAAGATGTCCCTCACTTAGCTGTACATATATAGTTTTATAGCAAGAAACAGTATTATTTCCTTTTCAAGATGACCGATGTCAGATTTATCAAATTCAAAACAAATTTAACTTGACTGATCCATAGTTATTGAATATAATTTATTATCTATAGTAGGGGAAAAGGAAAAAAAAATCAGTAGAAATACAAAATGCTTACACTGACATTTATGCACAAACAAAACCGTAACCCCACATTACTACTAAACACAGCTGGAGATCATCACAAACAGCCTCTTCAGGTTTTAGCCTCCATATCAAATTATTTTAAAACCACCCAATACAAAATTGACAGTTCAAATGCTCGAGTTTTTTTAAAGTGAGGAAATCCATTTAAAATGTTTTAGAGCATCTTTCAGTGCACTTAGGATCTCTGTACACAGTTTAAATACATTCTAAAGCTGTCAAAAATTGTAAGTTCTGCAACTTCAACTAATTTTCAGATATTTCTTTTGCCATCTTAAATTATTCTATGAGTTAACGCTTTAAATGATAGTGGTAGCTTCTCTTCAGAATCATTCAGACACTTACCACAGTTTACTTCTTATTGTTTATGTTCCACCACAGTGAAAGGACACCAAATTCAGAGGCTGTTATTATGACTAATCATAATCAAATCACGGCATGCTATTACCTTTTAGATGTTTGTGTAAAGCAAGTACTTACAAGCTTGTAACTTTGAATTTTAAAATTACTCCTTCCTGTGTTGTAGCCTACCATATTTCTTCTCAACTGGAAGAATCATCAGAGGTCCTTACACTGAAGCCCGGGTATTTTATGGTACTTTGAAAACCAGACTCAACATTCTGCCACCAACAGCATGAGACTCCAGAATATGCTTGTAGCAGTAATTTTCTCTCTTGCTATTTTTATAGCTTAAATATATCTATAAAATAGTTAATGTGCTTAGGAGTATTATCCTTCTTGTTCTGCTCTCACCAACTAATGAGATTAGTTGTGCATGTCGTTCCCCCCCCCCCTTTTTTAATATGTATGAATTGTTTTATGTAGCTTTAGACAATAGTGTTTTCTTTTCCAAAATCCAAACCACCCAAACACCTTGCAAACTATACTATCTTATATCTTCCCTGTGAAGGATAAAGCCCACAAGGAATTGAGAATTACTGCACCTGCAGATTATTCAAATGAGAATTCACCAGGTTTGGTCCCATAGAACTCACTCTACTTCCTCTCACCATGACCAGGCAGCTAGAGCTGCTAACTTTGTCTTTTTTGACTTTCGTGCCCATCAGTGTACCCATGCATTTCTGCACACAGACACTCACGTTAATAACCTGGTAGCAGCTCCTTACCATACTGAAACAATTGTGTATTCTGCATTATATGATGGAAGAAAAAAAATCCAATCTCTAAAAGTTCTGTATTATTGCACATAACGCTTTGGATTTGGGCAAAAACTATGTCTGGGAAGCTTTTAGCTCCCTGATTTGTCTCTATTTTATTATTCCTTTCAAATGAAGACACTTAAGTCCATTTCTTTATCATAAACTGTCTTGTATTTTGACTGCCAAAAAAATCCATGCATTTGTTCAGTATTTGCAAGTAGAACTACTGCTACAAATAAAGTAATCTTTTCAGAATATTTCAGCAGATGGTTCTTTATCCTTTGAAGAATTCATGTGATTGAATCTGATTGCTTGTAAAAGCAAGAACCAACATCACTGAAATGGGTGGTAGAGCAAGCAGAGTTTTTTTCCCCTTAAAGAGCTCTGCCAATAAACTAATCTTGACCTCCAATTCTCATCCTACAGTCCAGAGCTCAATTCTCCTTAAGCACAACTACTGGCCTCCTAAATTACAGGTAATTCTTAAGGGCTAATGAAATCCAGAAAAAAGCCCTGAAGACATTTATTGGTTTTGAACTTGTCAGACCAGGTACCTAGGTGTCACTCAAAGGTGAAAATCAAGTACGTTGATTAATTATTCCACTAATCCAAAAGAGGGTATTGGTAGAGATGTACTCAGTAGGAAAAAAGGCCAGCCACAGCTACACACTGTTGTAATATGTGGTTTGTGGCTATCTTGCTCCCAGCTACAACATCAATTACACACCTCTTAATTCTGTAATTCTGCAGTATACAAACACAAACCCAAATCATCCCATCCTCCACAGTTCTTTTCCTAAAAAAGTAAGAGGACACACATAAACAATAAAAAAAAAAAAAGCAGATCAGAGGATATAGCACAGAAAGCACAACTGCTACCACTTTATGTACAGGAACAGACAAGTTTTAGCAGTTAGAGAAGACTGAGCCTGCAAGTCCCTAAAAAGAAGAGTAAAAAGATATCAGACAGATGTTGAAAGGAAGAGATTTCAAAGAAACTAGTACCATTTCCAATTTAGTTCAGTCCAGCAGCTGAAGACTGTCCATCATTTGGCTAATTACCAAATTAAGTTACAAACTTTTTTTGGTAACAATTATGTCTCTGATGTTTTAATTCAGTTATGATGTTGTTAAATCCATACTATTTGAAGGCTACCATAAAAGTCATATTCAACTCTGTATTGCAAGCTAATGACATCAGCAATGGCCAGCAGTGCAGGAATTTGGTATACCCACAGAGGAAACGAAGCACTCCCACACTGTCATCTCTCTCGGCTGACATACAAGACTAGGTCTAAAAGGAGCCGTATTCTTCCCTGAAAAAAAAAACCCACAACCCAACACACACACACAAAAAAAAAAAACAAACAAAAAAACCCTCCAAATCCAACAGAACTGATATGAGGCTGGGGGGAAAAAGAAAAAAAAAAAACAAAAAACAACAATAAAACAACTAAAAAAAATTCTTACATACTCCAAAAAAAGTGCCACACCAAGCATGAGGAGAATCACCAGGAGTAACAGAGAAGTCACAAGTCTGATTTGAATGGACACATTTCACTCTCCTTACCCATTTTCTCAGCCACTAATCCCTGGCCATGCAGCAAACCACCATGTGTACAAAGCTCTCTTTGCTGTCCTGTTTATCAATCAGTTTTAAGACAAAATGGCTTAAATAGGTATTTTTGTGTACTGAAACGTAAAATGACAAAAATTGCTTCGGTTTTATTTATAAAAATTATTTTACCCAAGCCCATAGTGGATGACTGACACTATCGCAGCCTTTCTTAACTCACGTTTCTCTCTAGCCTGTTCAGAATTTATAACCTCCTTCCCCTTCCCCTCTCACCTTTGCCTAGGGATGCTGCATGACCCGACTATGTTCTGTGTCTACGTACAACCCTAAAATATGCTTAGACCCCAATGCCAAAACACCACAGAGCGCACCATATGTGACCACATCTGCATCTTTTCTTTCGCCCATTTAAAAGCCACACACAGTACAATGGGACACCATGTGAGGAACCTTAACATAAATGATAACTACCACTACCATAAGGAATACGTTGCCAGTTTTTCAGTAACACTCAAAATCATCACACTTTACTATATGAAACTAGAAAGAATAGTCTAGCAAAGTACAGGAAAATATAAATAGCAATATATCAGCTTCTGAGTAAAGATTGTGTCGAAGCTTGAAAAGGACAAGATGACCATACCTAATCAGCACCCTATACAGTGAACATTTGTGTTCTTAGTTTTCTCTTCACCTAACAATCACCAGTTTTCAGAAGCTTTATTTTAGTTATTGTGGACCTGTGAGGATGATTGAGATGTAAACAGTATTTTTGAAGAACTACCTATACACTGTCAAGATTCTCCCAGACTACAACCAGTCTCTGACTGCACCACAAAGTTAATTTTTTAATCAATTCAGTGGCTTAACTAGAACTAAGCTAAACACCAAATTTTGTCTTTTTATGAGAAGTCAAACAAGACAGAACTCCTTACAGTACAAGCATACCTACAGCTTACCTGCTGTCAGTCTCAATAAGAGAAGGTATTATGCCTTACATCTATTCTAAATGCAAGCATTCCGAACTTTCCTGCTCATGCCTTAACAAAAACAAGCATAAACTGGCAACATGGCAAGTATCAGTGTCAACAAAGTACTTCCTTTATGAACAAGCCATGCAGCCATACATGTTAGCTGCAGAGGAAAGGGTGCTTTTGTTTCATTCCTAAATTGATAGAGATCCACTCTGCGTGTTATTTTACATTGTGCAGGAAGAAGTAATAGTTACAAGTTCCAGCAAATTAAGTTTTGCCAAGACAGATGAGCCTTCCTTCCTATGCTATAGAACAATAATTATTTCAACACATGGACTGAGCAACAATCACATATAGCACAGTAGTCTTTGTTTCATATACAGCTATAATCTTGTTAAGAAAACAAACTGCAAGTTTATTATCTTGGCAAAGCTGACTTGTCCACGTTTAGACTCCAGCTTGGTTATAAACAAGCACAGTACAAAATCTACAATACATATGAGCCCTTTAATAAAAGGATATGGCCCACAGGGAAAGAGATTCCAAGATACAAAACAGGACTCCAGGTTGTTAAAATGGACCACATTTCCATACTGAAGATAAGCCCAGCATATGTCTGTAGCAAACATGCACAAGGCACAGTTCGGCTCCCTTGGGAAGGGTTTCATGATCCCAACAAGATCTCTTACAAAGAACTCAAAAAACCCCAAACAAAAAACCCCAAACAGAAAGCAACTACACAGAAAAAAAGAAAAACCACTGCATCACATACTACAGAGTTGCAGAGAAGAGGCAAGTCTGTTCATTAACTTGCATTATTTTAATTCAGAAAGCCTTTTTCCGAAGGAGGGGAAAGGGGTAGGAGGTTGCAGATTTTCTGTTCAGTTAACTAGGAGCAGCAAACTCCCTCCCTTTGTCCCTCCCCTACAACTACTAGCTTCACACATCTGCATTGTTACCTTCACTTTTTCTCTTCTCAGGCAGCAGAAAAGACAATTTTCATCAAAAGACCAATCAGAAACACCTTCAGGCTCACAGTCTGTAAATCAGAGGAATAGCAAATTACTTCATATTCATAAACCGCGACACAACTGGAGCCAAAGAGAAATGCCAAATTAAATACCTGTTTCACAACATTCTTGCCTGCATTCTGAGGATGCAGGCTTCATTTCGGCCATTTTTCTAAATCCCCAGATTACCAAACTGTATACATTTTATCTATGCACAACAAATCTGTTTTTCCGAGCACTGCCAAATACACTCCCAGCTACATAAAGATGAACACACACTCATTAGTAATTTTAGCCAATATGAAACTAACTGTGAGCACTGCCTGGGGGAGGGGGAAAAAAAGAGCACAAATCACCACGGTAACACACATTTTCTAGAGGCAGAGCTGGGGCTGCTTCTGTCATTAGAAATGCAGAACAAGATACAAACATAGAGATTGAATACCTTTAAACAAACTGAGATCTTTTAATAATCCAGGTCCAAACAGGCCTTCTAGAATACTTTCAAACCCTAAAAGCAAATAAAAGAATTGTTAGCTTTCTAGATTAAGTACGTCACTGCAAGAATATTCACAATAGCAGTTCTATATTTATCTGTTCCAAGAACAGAGCTCAACGTGTTTTCTCTAAGTATTACAAGATGCATGGGTCAATTGTGATGACTGAACTACTGACAAACCATAGCACAATCTAGAGTCCACCAACTCCTGTACTTTTGTAAATAGCTAGGTTAAAAACAAAGAAAATTACAACATTGAAATAAACAATTTTGAAAACAAAATAGGAAGTTGTAAGTTCTACAATGTGAACAGGTAATTTCTATATGAAAAAAAAATTCTCTTGCTTAAGCCTCCAAACTGAAATAAGGTATGCTTTCCCAATTAAAAAGATACATTCTTCCATCTGAGTGGCATTCAGTTACTTTTCTGAATTTCAGCAAATGTTAGAATCAATGTTCCCTGAAGAGTTACAGGTTCGAGGAGCAAAAATTCAAAGGAAAGGGATTCACCAGTGCCATGCCACTAAGGAACCAGATTCCAGCCACAGATCCACATCTAAGACACAGTACAATTTACTTCAATGCCATAATTTATGCTTCACTTAAATTTAACCAATTTTAGTTTATTCCAAAAGAGGAAAAACCTTTACCAAAATTGCTGCCATTATTTGGAAATGTTAAATCAATATTACACTAAACCCCTGCTGGCAGTAAAATCTACAGAACTATTAACTACCCAATACTGTGAGAAGACAGGTTGGCAGAATGAATATGAAAAGTACAAAGACTACTTTAAGGGGGACAGACAAATTCCATCTGCTTAAAAAGATGTATTCTCAATATGACCATAAAACTCAAGACTATAACTTTTTTTCCCACATTAATACTTTTGCTATGTAGATTTAATAATGGTTTGCATATAGCTAGGGGCAGCTTCTCCTGCTTGCCTGAATCTTTGAGAGGCAGAGGAAGACATGAAAAATTAAGAATTAAGACATAAAAGTATGTTTTAAATTCACAGAAACTTGCATGGGTGAACTGGGGACAGACAACTACTTGAAATAACCCTTTTAGGAAACCAGTCAAAATCTAAACGATCACATGCTATGAAGGAAATCAGTTATTACATTGCAAAAGAGCAATGATTCTAAAATAACTCTGACTATATACAGATCTAATATCAACACTATCTTTTGGACAGCAGCCTTCAAAAGGAAAGGACAAGTAAGGTTACGATCCCTCCAGGTGCACTGGCACTAACACCTTTAGATATCAGATGGAGGACCCTACAGAATTTGCAGCCTGCAACACGACCTAGATGGCCAAAGCATTGTGAGGGCACACCACCATCCTTGATCTAATGCCTATCAGAAACTGATACTAAAAATCTAATCTCAGAAAGCACTGACTGAAGAACAAAAAAAAAGGTGAGAGTGTGACGGTGAAATAGCAATCAAGAGTAAAGAGAAATAGGGGAGAGATCAGAAAACAAGGTGAAAGAGGAAAAAAAACATCCCGTTGAACAGCACCTTGTCAGGCAGAGAAGTAGCACTGCCTCCAAAAAAAGCCAATTCAGGCTTCAGGAAGTGGCAGGAACAGTGGGAAAGGGCCGACCAACCTGACCTAGAAGAAAAATAGGAGATTCAGGGTATTGACCCATAGGTTTATAATGCTGACTCTTATGGGTAGTGACCCCTCAGAATTTGTATCCGAAATGAAACCTTAAGGAAGACAGCTAACCAATCTCATTCTTGTCTTTTTGTTTAAAAAAAAATTTTTTTTTGATATATACATATAAAAATAAAAATCAAGAGAGCTCAGAAATTTTACTCAAACTCACCACTCTTAAAATAGTAACAGCCAATGACTCATGCCCCACAGTTTGCCATGCATGCAATTGCACACTGAAGTCCCTGCCAAGTTTTACAGCTTGGATATTGTACAATCATAGTTTGCTAGCCCACTGTTCTCAGTGATGCTAATGCCACTCCATTTTTATTAATATTAAATATTGGATTTAGCAGTTGCATAGCAACAGCAGAACATCTTATGTGCAATGCTTGACATTAAAAAAGGCAAATAAGGGAAGTATGAATGTATTCAAAAATTATACTAAAGATTGGCAAAACTGCCATGAAGCTGAGCCCTATTCCCCCCCAAATGCAAAGTGCAATGCAGCAAAGACAGTATAAGCCCTGTGATGTAGTATTTGGTCTTTGGGACTCCAAAAGAGCAACTGTGTACAGTTCATCATGCATAATACATTGAAAACAAAATCTTGAAAAAGGAGCTGCCTACTTTTTATAGTATTTTTTCTCTCCATTGTCACTGCTCTTAGAAGCTTGAAAAGAACATTTCTTTTCCCACCGATTGTCCTTTTCCATTTGGCAGATGATATTTTCCTGCATTTCAAATGGAACAAAAATTAACATGGCTGCCTCTGCTAAATTCCAGTTCCTATTATTTTCATCATTTATATTTCAGTGTCTGACAATTCACAGCAGCTGAAGAGCAGGGCCAGTGGAAAAGTTGCAGGAGTAACAGAATTAAAAGAGAGAAAAAGGGATGAAGATCCACAGTTTTAGAGCTTTCTCTTAGATATGTTCCTCACAATTAAAGCAGCCATACATTTAATCCTTATAATGTTACTGATGACCTATGGAAGGAAACAGGTCTTTTGGATGTTAGTGTAAGAATTTAGAAAAAAAAAGGTTTTAGTTTTAAAATCCCACAACATTTACAAAGTGTAAAACATCTCCATCTCAGAAGGCTCTCCAGCAAGTGAAGAATTAGCAAAAAAACCCCAAACCAAAACAAAAAAAACACAAAAAAACACCCCACAACACCAAAAAAAACCCCCAGAAAGAACAAAGAAACACTTAGTACTGAAGCCAGGGTAGAATAACTTCTTAAATGCAGAAGTTGTGAAATAGTAATGTGTGTAACAATTGTTAGCTCTAAAAGTAAAGCAATATTTAACAAACATTCTCTAAAATGTCCTCTGACAAAAATAAGAATATGGATGTGCCATTTTTATGCAAAGAGTAACAAGCACAGAACTTAAAACTCTAGAGAAAAAAGTTGACAATGCAGTTTTCAGCATGGTCAAATTTCGCTGGCTTTGTCTCTGCACCTAAACAGTTTTACTTTCATCCTCCCTTCTGCAACCAAATATTTTAAGTCATGAATTCAAACTGTAATTATAGTTTGTTGATTTACAGTTTAAAGACAACAGTTTAACTTCAAGCTTTGAAAAAAAAAAAAAAATCCAGTCAGATCCTCATATCTTTTGCCTTAAAACTGAGAGCACTTGTGATGATTAAGTAGCTACCAGGCTCCTTGAGATAACACTATTATAGGTGCTGATAGTTCAAGAGAGAACTTCAGTGGCTGATGTCTAGTAATGTGAATTAGCCAAAGACACATTCTCTCCTCTAGAAAACAGGAACGAAGATCTTCAGAATGACATAGGGATGCGTTTCTGGACTGCCATTGACACAGAGCCTGGCATTTCAAACAATGCTTTTTCCCCTGTGCAGCACAGCTCAAACATACCCTTTAATACTCACTACATAATTCAGCCCTACACACATATCTAGTCAAAGCGGTGAAGCTTGTACCACTAACTAAAAGTCAAATAATTCTGAGGGTAGTAAAGAAAAAAAAGGCTACAATCCATCTTTATTATTACACAAATTGTTAAAGAACTCAAGAAAAAAAAAATCAACACAATAAGGGCCCTGATGGAGGAAAATGAAAACCAACATACAGTTATCTACTCTTCAGCCCTAATCTGTGAATACCAATTTAATTTGAATATCAATTTGTAAACGGGATCTCAATAGACTTAATAAGTACTAGCCAAGGCAGTAGTTAAATATAGTAGATATCGTAGACTAACTGCAACAGAAAATAAGACAACTGATTCATCAGCATTTATTTATAATAAACAATCAGCCTAATACATAGCAATTTGCACTTTAAAAGGACAACTTCAAAAAGCTGGAAACTGAATCAAATCAATTAAGTCAACAGTTGTGTACATCTTTTGTTTAACTTTCTTAACGATTTCAGAACTTTATACTAGAAACCCTCAAAACAATATCATGGAAAAAACACTGACCTGTTAATAATAAAAAAAAAAATAAATCAAAAAACCCCAACCACTCCCCAAAACCACCCAAACCACGATGCAACTAAGAGTGAAAGCACGAAGAAGAGACAAGAGGAGCAGGGGGATACAGAGCAGAGAACATAAATCAAAATTCAGAAATGTTACAAAGGTCAGAACGAAGAGATGTGCACACAAAGTAAGCAAAGATAAAAATCAAAAACAAGGCACATATGCATACTACCTAAAAAAAATTCTATAAGAATATGGTAGTATGTTAACAAGCATTCAATAGAACAGCATACGATCACTCAACAAAATCTGTCGAGGTGATGTTATTTAACATCCGTAAATTAACAGTCTTAAAATGCTACGGAAGTGATTTTTTTTTTCCGAGTGTTACTCAAAGAATGTTTGCAGCAGCATTTAATTCCAGAAATTCTAAGAATATTGAGAAAGTATCAATGGGCTGGGGAAAAAGAATCATCCCTTTGAAATGTCAGAACATTAAACAAGGGTTGCAACTTGGTAAAGGTTTTCAAAACCAAGGAACAGCTCAGAGGACTACTGAGGAATTAACAGCAAAAATAGTGTCAATCAACATGGGCTTACAAAAGTTATTTGACTTTTATGGAACTAAAATTTTCATTAACAGGTAACAGGTTTGTAGCAGTTTCATTAACAGTAACAGGTTTGATATATTTTTAGATTTATGTAACATTTTTGGGCTGGCACAACAAATTTTGACTAAAACCAGCCAGAAAGAAAAAAAAAAAAGAACAAGAAACACCAAAACAAACAAACAAACAAAACCAGCCAAGTAGATGTAAAACAGATTAAAAAAATCAATTAAGTGACAGCTCTTGAAATGTTGGTGTCAATAGGAAACTACTGCTAGTGAGGTACATCAGTTGCTGGGTTTTGGCCCTACGCCATTTAACATTTTAGTCAGTGACTTGGAAGAAAGCAGTCACTAAATTTTCAGGAGATACAAAGACAGGAAGAACAGTAAATAACAAAAGGCCCAGGTCACAGAGGCTGCTTGCCAAAGCAAATGCAATTAAACACTATGTCGAAAGGGAGGACAGGAGGGGAATGGAGAAAGCCACAAAACACACATCTAGGAACAGAAAAAACAACTTCTCAAAGACATACCCAGATCCAGCAGTTGAAATTGGAAGCTGACATAAGACACACTTAATTTCACTGAAAACACAAGACATGCTCCAGGACCAGACCAACACTTTCCCTACCCTAGGATACTGAAGGTGTTACTTAGGGAAGCTTGGGCTGGCCACTAACATCTATTTCCCTTGTACCTCCCCAGCACTTATATCCATCATGTTAGGAGTCTCATTAACTAGTAGGAAGCAAGAGCCACCACCATCACACCAGGTTTTTATTGGATTTCTCATGCCTAGATTTTCTGGTCAAGATTGGATATATTTATCCACAGCTATGGGATTTAAAGCAGGAATTAATTCAGAAAAATCCTACAGTCTATGTGTAACACGGGAATTCTGTCTCTTTCAGGACAAAAATCTATTAAACTTGAATGTTTCAGTTACCAGCATCTTAATAGAAAAGCAAGACCAAGCAACAAGGGAGGGGAAAAAAAGTCACAGGACAGTTATTAATATACACCAAGTCTCAGGACATGCATATAATTATAAGTTGTGAATATTATTTTATTCATGCAACAAAATAAAAGAAACTCCCATCCACCTATGATGAGAGATCTCAATCGCTGAATGGAGCCCAGTTAAGAACTCCAGCTACAAGTTAAACCAACTTTGTCTTAGCTTCCTGGGGAACAAAGAAAAAGCTGTGCATCTTCAGCAATTTTTCAAAGTTCATGCTTCCACATTCTTGTTAGTGAAACTGCACTGCTCAGGGACTTATTGCAGACATTCCTGCTCCAGAGACAACAGATGCTTTAGTAAATCCAAGGACTTTCCAGGGACCTTAAATATCAATAACTTGGTTCTGCAAGAGCAATACAGAGACAAGCATACAGAAGAAAAGAACTGAAGATGCTAAGACAGGCACCATTTAAAAGAAGAACAGGTATGACCAAGTCCTATATAGCAATACATAGCTGTTCTATAGCTTTTTTCACCAGAACAGCTTGTGTTCCCAAGACAAAATACGTGGTATCACCTGTTAAGGTCTCTAAAGAGGCCCTTGAACTCAAGAGGGGAAAAAAAAAAATCCTTTGGCCTTAGACTAATGCTTTATTTGCCACAGAACAGCATCTCCAGTAAAGAAGTTTCAACTGAAGCAATCAAGAATCCAACAAGGTACACCTTCTGTCAGCCATTTCGCTGTTACAGTAACTTACCACAGCAATAAGCCAAGAAGTCAAAAAAGGGACAAAAAAACCCTACTACAGCAGCAAACAAGCACTGCTGATAGAAGTGCTTCTGACCATCCATCCTGCAAGACTTCATTAAAATTCTGCTACTGGTCTGTAATTTTAATAAAGAAGAAGCAGCTGCAGCAGGCCATCCTCACTCTTCTCTTCAAGCATCCCTCTCAACTAAGCAATTCCTTTTCCTCTGAGAATCAAGTCTAAACACATTTTCTCTGATGCAATATCAAACTCGCAGCAAGGAATTTGAAAGTTAATGAGCTAAGTATGACAGAAAATGAGCTACGTATCTCAACTACAGTGCTGCAACGCACTTGCCTTCACAACAGCAGAGCCCTGCCAAGCCCCCTACAAGGTTGATCTCTCCCCTCTACAAAGGTGAACGGAGAGGCAAAGGAAGCAAGTTAACAGGCTGTTTTGCAGTGTGAGAAATGGAAACAGATCTCCCCATCCTATGTTAGCACTAACTAGCAGATTATCTTGCCATTTACAACTGAAAATTCACCCCCCCAAAAAAAAGAAGTAACAAGTTATAAAGCTTGTTGCCAGAGTAGAGAGTATAGCAAGGCATAATATGGACCATCTCCTGCCTCCCCTCCCGCAAGGATTATTTTTGTGCATGTGATCTGATCTCAAGAAGAGAATTACATGAAGGCATACAACCTTCTTATCTGTAATCAAAAGCCTCAGCAGCAGAATTCAAGAAAAACCAAGGACTCTCTGAAATGACTGTTTCAACACCACCTCAAGACACAGCTATTGCTCTGGCAGACTGAGCTGTAATCTTCATGTGGATTTGCGGGGGTGGGAAGATCCTACAATTTGTAGATAGTGCATCACTAATCTGGCTAGTTGTTCAAATCAGGGGTTGTGGGC